GAATTCTCTAGTTATATCGGTTTAGTCGTTTGTTATGCAGTGACATGCAGTCAAATTATTCGCCAAACAGTCCTTAGGGATGCGGTGACACGCAGTCAGATATTTCGCCGAACAGATCCGCCACTTTTGCCGCTCATAAAAAATCATAAAACCCTCGTGCTGCAGGAATGAGGAGGTCTGCTGAAGGTGCGCAGCTGTCGTGTAGTGAGGAGTTTGCGTATTTAATGAACTACGGCAGTTTGCGTTCAATGAACAGTAAGAATGATTAATAAATCCATATGTAACAGTCCCTTAAGTCACGTCTCGCTTTCAGTTTCAGGCGTTTTGCACTCACACTACAAGTGTACCGCGCCAAAGCCCAAGTGAACCGCGCTCAGGCACACCTCTTCCAACCAGGCCAGGGCCGGCCAAGTGAACCGTGCTTGAGCCCGAATATTGGCATTGGACAATTAAAAAAACAAAACAAAAAATAAACATTGAGGCCAGTAATGCTCGGTATTGCACAGCTCTAAACCTTAATGTTAGTTGTTATTATTACAAGTGGACCCACCTGTCTGTTTATTTCAGCTCCTCTGTGTATAAGCCACAAAAGGCATTCTGGATGTCCTCCAAATGCAGCAATGTGTGCTGGAGTCTGGGCAAATCGGGTCGTCAGTGTGTTCACTTCACATCCCACCTGCACCAGCCTCATAACACACTCCAGCTGTTTTTTTGACAGACAGAAAAATAAAATCAACAATTAACATTTGCATGATTTGCACATTTTCCCTGTTTCTTGCAGAATAATCAGTCAGTGAAGATTTCACAGCTGTGAACAGTTAGACATTTAACAATTTCTCACAGAATAACTATTTGAGGCTCATGCTCTGCTGTCAGGGACCAGCAGCTGTGTTGAGTTTTTAATAACACCATTTGATGACTCATTCCCCTGTTCTCTGGCTCTGTATCCCATTTATGACACAAACCAGACCCTTTATTAAAAGAAAAAAAAGTCCTATCACTACGATAAACAATCAAACATTTTTGTTTTACAAGAAAGAACAGTTTAGATTTTAAATTCCCTGTTTTGGCGCGTGGCGTTTTATTGGTTTTCATCCAGCCAATGAATGAACCGGTACGCTTGCGCGCCTGATGTTGCTGTTCTCTGGCTTTTGTAAATGTTAATTGATTCTTCCAACTTCGAAGCGATCCGAAACAAAATGTGATCAAAGCACAAAGCAGCAGCAATTAATGTATACGCATAGCTACTTTTATTCTAGTCAATTTAACGAACAAAGTATACATGTTACTTATGCTAACGTTGAACGCTCAAAGACGAACGAGGAAGACTAGCGTTCAGATGAGTAACTTGGATATAAGGCAAACATAATAATAAGCTCAACTGAGACACGCATTAAGCAATAATCTGTTCTTCCCAGCATGCGAGTTTGCACGCACACACAGTGAATTATATGACCTGCTTTCCGCTGATGGCCTTATCGTACACAAGCGATACAGTAACCATTTTTATATCGCTGATGTTTGTTAACATATTAAAGATTTCTTTGTCCACGTGCTGTCGTTCGGTTTTCACTGACAGGTCTGTCTGCGTTTGTTATTCCTTAAATCAGTGGACACACACCTCTGTCTCCGGAAGCCACTGTGCTTAGAAGAGGACTAACGTTATAGAAGAAAACATAACTCTAACAGAATACTGTACTTATAATACCTTCCCGAAGTGTGCTGCCCAATGAATAGGGGTCCAGCCGTAAAAAGAGTCTTCGGCAACCAAGTCTGCCTGGTTGGTTGAGCGCTGAAGCAGCGAGCACAGTGCGCCGACATCTCCATCCCTGCATGCGCGGTGAAGCGGGTAACGTATGTTGAGCACTTCGTCGTTGGAGAAACCGGACTCCACTCCTACAGACATGGTCTGTGTCTTGGAAACCCCAATTTGTTAGGTTTACGAAAGCCCCAAGGTGAGCAAGCCGGCGTGCGTGCTCAGAAAACACCGACCACGCACACAAAGAAGGCAGTGGGACTGACCTGAACACACTGTGAAGTAAGTGAGCTCTCTGAAGTGTACTTCAATGGCCGTTTGGAAATCCAGGACTGGAATATTTCTAGGGCTGTGGATTAGGTTTGACCTAAAAAAAAAAAAAAAAAATCGTGACGTATAGAAAAACACGCCATGGATTTTTAAAACGCGTGTTGAGGAAATCTAAGGCAACAGACAAATTAAATTTAATTCATACATTTAAAGTTCGTTATATTATTTTATAAAAATAATAATAATCTTTTTCGCTAAGTATATCAGTTATTATTTTGCTCGTAAATGATATGCTGTTATTGCCATTGCTATTATTATTATTATTAACAAATAATAATAATAATTATTATTATTATTATAATTATCATTATTATTATTATCATTAATATTATTATTATCATTATTATTATTATTAATAATAATAATAATATTAGTATTATTATTATTGAATAGTAATAGGAACGCGGGGAGAACAGGCAAACTCCACACAGAAATGGCAACTGACCCAGCCGAGGCATGAAACAGCGACCTTCTTGATGTGAGGCAACAGCTCACATGAAGCTGCGCCGCCGCGTCACTATTATTATTATTATTATTATTATTATTATTATTATTATTATTATTTTATTATTACTGGGTACTCTGGTTTCCCCCATAGTCAAAACCAAAGCAAGTTGGCCTTAGTGTATGTATACATGATGCGCTGTGGAAAATAAATGCTGGAATATTTGGAGGTTTATTCCGCTGTGGCGACCCAAGCTTACACTAAGCTTTCATTCACGTAGATAAAAAAAGAATATATAGCCTATATACTCTGCCAATGCACAAAAATGTCACACACTTTCAGACCAACTTTAATTACAGCAATAGCATTTTTTTAATATGCCAAGATCTTGATTTGATGATGGGATGGCATTCTTTAACTATTTGAGCTCAATGAATCCTTTGAATCATGGATCTGTCATCTTGGAAGATGCCTGTGTCGTTAGGCACATTCAGTGTTCACGTAGTCAAATAACTTTATTCTTTAGGCACAGGTTTTTAAGGCTTTATTTATTTTAGGCTTTATATTTCTTTTAGGCATATGTAGCACAGCATAAAGTGATACCATGTCTATATAGTGTCAATGTGGGAGCACCACACTGATATCATTTTATCCACATCTCTTCTGATTCTGATACCCAGATAACTCTGGAATAGTTCTGGAGTCACCGCCACATGACCTTCCCCTATTAGAGCTAAATCTTTATGCTCTCTATAAAATTAAAGCACTGACGCGTCATGCATTTTTCCCAGATTAGCCATAAGGCTTTCTTAAGGCTACACGTTTGCATGCGTGTAGAAATATTTTAGCACTTAAACATAACTGTGACTTCCATGTTATTGTATGTTTTGATTTTACCAGAGATTCACATAGTGACACACATCAATTTCCTTTTTCATTAAACAGTTGACCACATTGGGAAATCTTTGCTTCAACCAACTTAAAAAAAATAATAATAAAGAATATATGTTATTCCAGATTAAATAATGAATGAGGAGAAAAGTTGTGCAACAATCTGCACACCTATGAAAGTTAGACAACGTAGCCGGTTTTCAATTGCTAATAAATAAAAAGTAAATCTAAAAAAATATGGAGAAAAATATATTGTGAAATAAAGTTCCGGTTAGACTTTTGAGAAAGTGTTAGGCCTAAGCCTACATTACCTAATAATCATTTAGCAGATGCTTTGTCCAAAAGTGACTTAATTATTAGGTATTAAGTGATTTAAGAATATTAATAAACTCTTAAGTAATTAAAGTAGAATAATATTTTGAGACTGATTGAGTAGCGCTCCGAACATAGGAGGGCGCTAATGACTTAACGTCAGGGATCTTTTAAACAGTTAAGCACTTTCAAAATGAAGGCCGTCGATCCAGTTAACGTTCCGTCTTCATCTGCAGTACAGGTAACGTTAAGTTTTATTCACTGTTTTATTTCTTTTTTCCATTTTCACAGACTTTAAGTTTGTGCTTGAGCAACTATGTGACTAGGTAGATGAACGCTAACTGCAAGTGTTTAGCAGGCTAATATGCTAATTAAATATTTAAATTGTCTGTGCTTCTGTAACCGTAGAAAGACTTTTGTAAAGATTGTTTCACCGCAAAATAATTTTACTCGAATTTTAACAAGTCTCTTATAATACCTCATATAGTTTGAAAGAAAACCAAACTGGAAAACCAGCAATAATGTTACCACAAGATGTCACTGTCCCACAGATAATACCATCAGTTCGTAAATTACGTTATACTATATTCAATGCCGTTGCGTTTGTTCATCTTTAACAGTAAGTAAGCAAGCATTATCTAACTATTGTGTTTAAAGGTTGTTGGATCAGACGGCTTTGTTCAAGTCAGAAAGCGAGACTTGGAAAGATTGGAGGCAGAAGTCAGGACTCTACGAGAACTTATGCCAAAAGTAATCAATAGTGACTTGATTGATACTATCCATGAAGAACGGTCTCTGGACGCATGTAAGTTACGTAGCATAGCGAACTTTCTTTCCTACGTAGCAACATATCTCGGTTATGACACAGTAAACAACTGTAAAGGGGTTTGAGGGTCAGAAATCTGTCAGAATTAAAGTGCTCAAATGTTATTTTCCTACACTGCTTTGCCGTTGGCTTTAAACCATCATTGGCTTTAAACCAAAATTTAAGCTTGTCTAAGCAAATTTAGCTTTTCTAGTTAAAAATTGCAATTGAATTAAAATTTCTGTATTTATTTTACATTCATCCAGATTGTAAAACAATGCAAAGTCAGAGTTTTACAAACATAGACAGTAACAATAGTTATTGGTAACAATAGCTGACATCAAACACAGACATGGAAAGGAAAAAAGAGGAAAACACACACAAACACGTATACCAAAAACACATTAAACAGCCTAGAAAAATATAAATAATTATATAAATAATAATTAAAAACAGTAAATTAATTACATAACTAAATGGGAAACAATGCCTACATGTGTACAACCTCAAAACTGAAATTCAAGATAATTTAAATTTGAAAGTGGTTCCAGCAAACTCAGAAAATTAACTTTTAAAAGGACAATTTAAAGTTGATAAAGTGCTGTATTATACTAAATGGCAAAAAAAGATGTAGTCATCTGATAATTTTGACTGGTGACTTACTGTTTTAAATTGTTTTTGACTTTTATATAGTTCAAGAACTCTGTGATCGTGAGCAGCAAGAAAGAGAGAATTGTCTACATATTCAAACCAGACTAGATGCTGCCCTGAATGAGTGTCAGAATGAGAAACAGGTACTATAACAGAAAGGATGAGAGACTGCAGAGACCACACTGAAGTGAAACATAATTTACTTTAAGATTCTAGAAAAGCATATACACAAATAACATTTTTACATACTATTTAAATTTTTCTATAAACTACTTTTAATTATCACACAGAAGGTGTCTATATAGAGCATCTTAAATTAGATCATGCAAGACTTTAAATATAAGTAAATAGTATCCATTATTTGAACTCATTTTTTATTTGTACTGTATTATAGCGTTGTCATGCTCTTAGAAAAGCTGTGTATGTTTATGTCTTCTCATATACATTTGTAGGAGAAGCTGGTTCTTAAGCAGCAGTTATGGGAATGCAGAGGACAGCTTCAGCAGCAGAAAGACTTTTGTACTGAGCTGGGTGCTTCATGTTGCACGTTGCTGTGGAGTGCATCTCAGAAGGAGGAAGCCATCAGAGACATATTGGCTAATGTGAGTTTAAGTTTGAGTTTGATTGAACACAATTAAAAGTTGTTATCTAGATAGTTTAAAGTGTACCATTATGGTTTTTCTAGTATTAGATTTAATGTAGTCATTAATGAAGCTGTATGTGAATTGCAAAAAAGTTTAAAATATCACAGTGCATGAAAAATTTAATGTTCAGCTCCCCTAAAAAAAAAAACAACAACTTGAATTTGAACTGACTGAAATGAGTCATCAGTAAATCCAGCTTTACTATCTGCACATACATACATAGGTTTGTTTTATAGTCTTATAGTTGGATTATTTATATTATTGTTGATACTTATTGTTTAAATGAGTTAATTCCCTCTTTTAATAAAAATAAGAATGGCCAATCAAGAATGGTCGATAGAGACAGATGTAAATGTTTTTAATAAACAAATAATGTAAATAAAATTAATGAATAAAATGCTGGCAGCGTGGTGGTGCAGTGGGTAGCCCTGTCACCTCACAGCAAGAAGGACGCTGGGTCATTTGGCATTTATGTGTTGAGTTTGCATGTTCTCCCCTTGTTCGTGTAGGTTTCCCCCACATTTCAAAGACATGCGCTATTGGTGAATTGGGTAGGCTAAATTGTGCATAGTGTATGTGTGTGAATGAGAGTGTACGGGTGTTTCTCAGTGATGAGTTGCAGCTGGAAGGGCATCCGCTGCAAAGAACATATGCTGGATTAGTTGGCGGTTCATCCCACTGTGGCAACCCCTGATTAATAAAGGGACTAAGCAAAAAGAAAGAAAATGAATAAATGAATGAAATCGTTGCATAGATTGAAGTCTTCTGTCCGCAAATATGCTACTTAGTATATTAGCTACTTATATTTTCTAATATTTTTTCTTGTTCTACTTTGAATACACTTAATATGTCTAAGTGTACACATAATATGTCCAAGTAGGAACTTCAGATTTCATTTGATTGGCACTGAACAAAAAGTCCTTTACTAAAGCGATTTAATATCAATAAGTGAACAGTGACCCCCCTACTTTTGTTTCATAATGAACATTGCCTATTGATTTAGTTGTTATTATAGTAAAGGAGCACTCCATATCTTTTAGAAAAATAGACTCATTTGACACTTTCCTAGAGTTAAAAAGTTGAGTTTTACTTTTTTTGAATCCATTCAACCGATCTGTGGGTTTTGGCAGGAGCACTCTTAGCTTATCTTTGCATAGATCTTTGCAACAAGACATGTACGTAAGCTAATAGAAAAAAGTTGCTATTTTCTAGTCTGATAAGGATGAGAATTATACTCTCATTCCCATGTTATAATCAAGGCTTTTTGCTGCCGTACCATGGCTGCAGCAGGTGCAGTTACATTATTCAGTGCCTGAAAACTGTCCCCAACTCCACCTCTTGTACCAACAGTTAGAATATGTGTAATACAGTGTTAATTTTGCCAGCAAAAGTTTATTTAGTTTTAGTATTTAGTCTAGTCTTTAAAATTGCCTTTTTAGTCTTCTGAATCATTGTAGTTTTGGTCAGATAAAGGACCCTATCATACACCTGGCGCAATGTGGCGCAAGGCGTGACGCAATTGTTATTTGCTACTTTCAGCTCGGTGCAAGAGCCGTTTTGAGGTGTTGCGCCACGCTGTTTAAATAGCAAATGCATTTGCGCTCATATGTGCGCCCATAGATGGTCTAAAAAAGCAGGTGTGTTTTGGTGCGTTGCTATTTTGAGAAACTATAATAGTCCGTTCTTTAGACCAGAACAAAGACGGTCTATTTTCTGGCGCAGAGTGTGCCTGGCTTACACACTGTTTAATGCACACAAGATATAAAGCAATACGCAAATATCTTTACATATGAAAAAGATATAAAATATTAAGGATATCTATAGGATATAACAAGGATATAAATATAAAGGATTAAAGGGCCATGAAACCCCCTCGTTTCAGTAGGGTGTTTTCACACCTCTACTTTGGAAAAAGTCAGAAAAGTGGGCGTGCCCAGCTCTGTTTAGGGGGGAGTGTCGGAGGAAGAAAAGTGGGATGGTGTGGGAGTGTCTATTTGGGCACGCGCGAGCTTCAGAGTTAAAATACACACACACACACACACACACACACACACACACACACACACACACACACAGTAGAAAGTGATGGTGTTTAACCTACAAGGACATCTGTAGTCGAATTATTTGCCAAATTATTATAACGAGATATTTGATTCGAGGAGCTGCTCTAAGCGTGTATTTTTCATGCAATGTTTGATACCGCACGGCGAATGAGAGAAAAAAAACCTCCGCATTTCCCGGAAACTTAGTTGCACACGGCAGGTAGGGTCAGAAAGCTGTGTGTGTTATTCCGGTCACTAAATGCGGTGAAAACCCTACACGAGGTTAAAGTTTGGTTGTGGTGCTAACATGTTTACACTCGGTGCAATGGTTAACTTAGTTCGATACGAACAAACTGAATAAACAAAAAGCACTGGTCGCTCACTTTTGCCAATACAACATGGTGTGTGTCGTCTAAACACTGTGACAGTAATTAATATTAATGAAGTTGCACAATAGAGCGCGCTGATTGGTTTGAACCAAGCCTTACTCATGCATTAATGCATCACACTGTAAGACGTAATAAGACACACTCTGACACAGACGTCCAGTCTGCACGCTGTAATACAACGCTATTATGTCATGGCCGGACGCAGCTTCAAAAATTCGTTTCAAACCGGAAGTACGAATTTGCTTGAAATAACGCAAAAACAACCAATTTACACTTTTTAGTGAAATATAGGTGTCCTAATAGTGTTTTTAGCAGTGTGGGACACATATACGACTGTCAACAGCTCCAAAAATGTGTTTTGGTGTATCGTGACCCTTTAAAATATGACAAAACATATTATTTTCTAGCCTACATGAATTCAAAAAACAAACTTCTTTCATACTTTCTCCATCTCAGGAGGCTTTTTCAGTTAATTCAATTTGCTTTTGTATAATGTTATCATTATTAGCAGTATTATTTGTTATATGCATATTTATATTTGTTTTATTAAAAACAAGCTTAGATTTGTCCACCTGAAGGTTTTAGACCATATGGGCACAGCATGTGTATTAGGATATAACTCAGGTTTTTAAACACATTGTGATTTATTGTCCATTTATTTGTTTGCTGGAAATTAGAACTGAATTTAGAAATAGTTTTGAAACAAATCTTTGCACTTAACAAACGAAATTAATTATTTATAGGCTAATTGATGTCTGTGCGTACAAGGTTTCCCTATCCACGAGAGCGAAAGTGAAACTAGAGTTTGAGATGCCTTATCTCTCATTTTCAGGCTGTAGATGATCTGTTTAACTGTTTTCTTACTAGTGAAATGCTCCGTTTTTCCACTCACACTTACTTTGTCATGTAAATAGCAAATGTGATTATGGCGCGACGCAACTGGCTCTTAAAGGGAATGGAAGATGAGATTGGTTTATTCTCAAAACACCTATAACTCATTAAGAAAATAAACTTAACCCTTTTAGACCGTGCGCCACGGCGGAAAGCAGATTTTTCAGCACTTGGATGATGCGACGGCTGCCACAGGACAACAGCGCCAGTGCGCTCACCACACACCAGCTATTGGTGGAATGGAGAGACAGTGATAGAGCCAATTCGGTGGAAGGGGATCATTGGGAGGCTATGATCATAAGGGCCGATAAAGGGACTTTGGCCAGGACACCGGGGTTACACCCCTACTCTTTCACGAGAAGTGCCATGGGATTTTTAACGACCACAGAAAGTCAGGACCTCGGTTTAACATCTCATCCAAAAGACGGTGCCCACTGACAGTGTAGTGTCCCCTTCACTTTTACTGGGGCATTAGGACTCACACAGACCACAGGTTGAGCGTCCCCTGCTGGCCTCACTAACACCACTTTCAACAGCAACCTAGTATTCCCTAGTGGTCTCCCATCCAGGTACTGACCAGGCTCAGCCCTGCTTAGCTTCATTGAGTAACCAATCTTGGGCTGCAGGGTGACATGGCTGTGGATATCAGATGAGATGAAATGGCCAGGTATCCAGTGGCCAGAAATATATAACTATTTTATGGAAACTCCCTATTGTTTGTAGAGAGGTTCAAATCCTACACATCTTTGGATGCCTACAAATTAGTTTTTTTTTGTGTGTGGTCATGTGCAAGAAATAATGTTCCATGATTACCTGGTTCGAAGCTTTGTAGTGCTAAAGACAGAGGTTCTGGCTAGCCAAACTCAAGGATAGAAGACTGAACTGTACAAAGCCTGGATAATCATCAACAAGCAAAACATCTGCATTCTGACAGTGAACTGCACCTGCATGCCAGGGTATGTGGACTTACATTTTTACATTTAATTCTTAGCATTCCAAGTCTGCAGTTTAATTAGCCATAATTAACTGTTTTTACTAAAATCACAGAACTCTTGTTTTATGTATAGCCTAAAGTATCATTTAAACCTTTGTATGACATACAATATACCATTTTATGCAGGTTAGGGCCTGCAGCCATGCAGCTGCACTTATGTTTAGTTGAGCTGTGGGTCAGAATAGGAAAAACGGAGATGTGTTGTACTTCAGGGACAAATACTGTATGTGGATTAACCCATCCAAGAAAGAGGTGACACCAGCAAGACTAAGTAAGATCAGCTTCAGAAAGGCTAAGAGGCTAAGAACTCTCCCAGTTGCAGCCAGTCAGAAAAAAAGCATAAAAAAGAATGTAGAAAAGATCAGGTCATGTAAATGTAGCAAGCAGGTAGGTATTAAAGATGATAGTTCCTCCAAAAATAAAAAATGTGTAATCATTTGATCAACACGAAACATATTTTTAAAAAAAATATTGGAAACCTGTTAACATTGACTTCTGTGATAATTGTTTTCCTAGTTTGGAAGTCGATATTTACAGCTTTCTTCTGAGTATCTTTTTTTGTGTTCAACAGCAGAAAGAAACTCGTAAATGTTTGAAACAACTTGAGGGAGAGTACAACCCCAAATCAGAAAAAGTTGGGAC